CGCCATCGAGCGGAATACCGAAATAACCCAACCGTTACAGCTTCCCGGGACACGCGACTACCAAATTTTCGGAGGCGGTCCGCTTCTAAGGCGGTTTATCGGCATTTAATAAGCCGAGTAACGGTTTTCGTCGGTGCCCAAAAATTCGTATATCGGACGGCTGGAATTGCCATAAAACAATAACGAGTCTAATTGGAATGGCGTCGAAGCGGAAAGTAAAAAGAAAACCGGGAGGTGGTCGAGGATGTAGAAGTCGCTATCGAAACGGAGACAAAGAAGNTACCGTCGATTTAATATTCACTCGATACATTTCAATTTTGGTTTTCTTTACGCTGGTTAAAAGTCGAAAAGTTATTAACACTTACGAGCGGGGGTGTCGTTTTCAACGGTTTTCGTCGGTGCCCAAAAATTCGTATATCGGACGGCTGGAATTGCCATAAAACAATAACGAGTCTAATTGGAATGGCGTCGAAGCGGAAAGTAAAAAGAAAACCGGGAGGTGGTCGAGGATGTAGAAGTCGCTATCGAAACGGAGACAAAGAAGATCCTGACGCGTCGGTATTTTTATCGTCGTCATCAATTCTTAACTACTTCGTAACTAATCGAAGAAGCGTCCAGCCATTTTCTCTTTGTACGGCTTAGGGTTTTTGCTCGGCCCGGGATTCGGGGGAAAAGCCAACTGTTTTCCGGGATATAAAATCGAATGATAGAATTACTTTTCATTTTTAACCTCCGAAATAATAATATTAATAACGCCGCGTAAAATATGTATAAAAATCACTTTTGAGTTAGGTAGAAATTTCCGCAAATAGAAAAATGTATTAAGGTTTGATATTCGTAGGCTACCTATTGACCATCCGCCACGCGCCACAATAAGCAAAATTTAAAAAGCTAATAAGCGGGCTTAAAATTAATAAATACAAAAGTATTCTGACAGTTTATGCATTTATGATTATACTTTCTATTTCTAAATTTCCTCGACTTTAACACAAAATAAGAAAAAGGTGAATTTTAAAGAAATTTACGGAATTTTCCAAGTTAAAAAACGGCCGGGACCCCGTTGGAAAAACCCTAGTATCGCCGCTTCCCGCCGGTGTTCCCATCCGGACGATATACCAGCGGATCGAACGACGGAAGTGTCCTACGAAGAAGACGGGTGTTAATGGCCGGCCCGCTTAATTCTCTTCCCAAATCCTCGTTTACTCCTTCCCGGCCTTTTGGCGCGGCGTTAGATCCGCCGGTCCGTTTTAAACTCGAAGGTAAAAGAGGCGACGACCGAGCCACCAAAGCGTTATTAACGGGGACCCTAGCCGGCTGCGCCATCTTACGTGGGTGGCCGACGTCTCCGTTAATTATACCGTACGATATCCAGGCCCAGACGAAATACCGAGCGTACCGGACTATTTGGACCGGAGGATAGAGTACGGTACAAACGTCCCACCGCGCGTTCGGGCAAAATGCCGGTCTCTTACCGTACAATTATTCGGGACAACGTCGGACCTTATACACTACCGCCAATATATTTTAAGCGTTTTATAACTGTATAGTGGTAGGAAGGGTGGGCCGCGCGGCTACCCACCCGACGTAAATAATCGGAAGCGGAGTCCGGAGAAACGATACGATAAATATTTCCGTCCGAATGGGAGTAATAAGTTTTTGACTTCTTTAAATGCCAAATAACCTTTCGTACTTTTTCCGGGTAATTAATTAACTAATGGAGTAAATTTGGCGCCTAAGTGTTGCACGCGCGTATTGTATAGTTTATCTACGAAGTTACGTTACGGAATTACCGGCAATAAACCGGTATTTTCTGGTACGGTATAATAGTCTAATAGCCGAGGTAAAATTGCCATTAGCCAATGCCACGGCGCGGGTTTTATTAAGATTAATTGCCAATTTATCCGGGCGGAAACGGGGAGGACCTCGGTTATTTTTTCCTACGAATTTTTCACCCCAGCGGGAATTTCGGAAAGACTCCGGGATTTTCTTCGTTTCCGTATAATAGGAGGCGCGGTGGGCCTCGGACGGTAGGGGCGAAAGAGCGACCACCGTCCTCTATTGTCTTAGTATCGACGCTTATCTCTTTTTAAATTAATTATTTCCACCGTCGACGTTTTAATCGTTGTCCCGCCTCCGTAAACTTTACGGGACTCGACGGCGTAAGACCACGACCAAGGTGGCGCGGCTAATGGGCAAAAAGGTTTTAAGGACGAAACGGCGGTTAGGTTTAAATAGGAAGGGTGGGTCCGGCCCCATAGTCGGACCACCGAAGCGTCGGCGTTACCGCTTTATCCTTTCTTCGGCCCACCGACTGGGAAGGACGGGGGTCGAACGGTAGTCGTCGGTACGAGAGAATTTATTTTTTCCTATTTTAAGGAATTTTTTATAGGTAGGAAGGCGGCGGCGCGGCGTTGGGCGAATATTGTCCGCTGTACGTCCGCGGCGTATGGTTTAATAAAGTTATACCATAGCTTCCGGGAAGGAAAGCGCGCTCCCGGTAAACTCTATTATTTTTTACGACGGGAAATGCGCGTCGGACGTATTTTTTGCCTGTCTCGGCACCGAAATTAATCGACCGCCGTTATAAATACAATTTCTTTAAGTGCCATTCTTTCCTCCCCACCCGTTTTTCCGCCTTACGTCGATTTTTATCTTTGTTTTAAAGTTAAATTTTTCCGTTTTCTTCTTTTTTACTGGTGAATACCGCTTTAAAACTGGGCGACGTAAAATATGAAAATACGTTACCGTCGATTTAATATTCACTCGATACATTTCAATTTTGGTTTTCTTTACGCTGGTTAAAAGTCGAAAAGTTATTAACACTTACGAGCGGGGGTTCGTTTTCACTACGGAAGGTACGGAGTCTTGCGTACCTTCGGTGGCTTTTTCCAAAATACTATTTATAATGCCAGGCAACCAGGCACACGTTCTCTTTCCTCGGACGTCGACCGATCCAACTCTTACGTAATCCGAAGTATCAAAATTCCGCGCCTCAACTTTTAAAGAACCCACCGACGTCCGCGCTTATAAGAATGCGAAAATTCGCCGAAACATTTCGTTTACGGTCTTTAATTAATTACCTTAACGGAGAATTAGAGAAAACAGAAAATTAACAGTTTATAAATCGGTTGGTTTTCTTTTGGGTCGGGTGATAACTTTTCCGTCTTTTCCGCGCCATTTTAAGAAAAGAACCCAAAATACCGCCCGGGCCATTACCGGTAGCCGGCGGAGACGACCGGAGATAGTCGGGCGGGAGAAACCCCGGAAGAATGCGGCCGGGCCGACCGTCCCCTCTGGCCACCGGCCGAGATTTTACGGGCGGGACGGCCATGGGACTAACCGAGAATAATTACGTCCGTCTCGTCCGGCGTTAAGGCCGAAACGGATAATTTCCTTACGTCCGGTGGCGGGAGAGTAGTCGTCCCTTCTAGCGCCAAATAACGCGTCGGTCGTCCCGCGGTATTCCCGGTTTGAAGGAAAATCGCGTGAAATAAGGTTTAGGCGCCGCCACCCGGAAGGGGCCGAGGGTTAAGGTAAAGGCGGTAACGCCATTACGCTTTCACTTTAATCGCCTGGATTTTTGACTCCCGGCAAATACGGCGGGCGTTTCGGCGTAATTATAAGAAATAAGCAGTTTTTTAACTTTCTACCCGCCTTAACTCCTGGCTCCGTCTCCTTCCTCCGCCTTTTCCCTTCGCCCGCGGCGGGAGCCACCGGAACGGCGCCGTCGCCTTAACCGGGTTAATGCGGCGCCGGGAAGCGGGGAAGGGCGACGGTTCTTCCCCTTCTGACCGCTGGTCCGCTCCCGTAATTGTCCGGAGCGTCCGGGAGTGGCCCGAAGAAATCCGCCGGGAGAAGCGGGTAGAGTGAAATTTGCCGCTTTAATTACCAAGAGAGAAAATTGCCCGGCGCGTATATTTATCGGACGTCGGAAGGCAAAAAAACAGACCGGTCCGGCCGTCTTCTCGGGCAGCGGGGCGCCGCCCCTCTCTCCGACGGGTGAAGGGAAAAGACCGGCGTAAATCTTTACTCGCCGTTCGAGTTTAACGGTAAAATGCTCCCCTTTACCCCATTCCGGCGGTCTTTCGCTCTCCGCTCCCCAACCCGGCGCCAAATTCGTAGCCACTCCGTTCTTCCAGTAAACGGAAACTATCTAAAGTTTTCGGTCCTAAATTCCTCAAAATTGGCCCGGCTTCCGGTAAGCCGCCCGACAAAAGCAAAGGACGGAACCGGATCCCGCCGTCGACGCGCTCTTAACTTCGGAAAAAATGCGGAGGATCGGAAGAGGAATCGACTTTACCGTCCCCCGTCGACGGGTAAAACGGAAACCTTTTCCACCTGGCGCGGCGCGTAAACGTTGGATTAAACCGAGGGACGGGTTCTTCCCGCCGCCGATTCTCCACTCTCCCCGTCGTCTTTCCTCGTAGCCAGCCACCAACGTCGGATTGGGAAAAATTCCCAGCGTTTCTTCCTAGAAAGAAGGAAGAAGACAATTACCCACGCGTTGGAATTACACTCCCTTCTCGGTCTGTCGCCCCGACCCCGACTTCCGTCTTCCCCCGGTCGGCTAAAACGGGCCTCGTCTCCGGTTCCCCGCGGGTGGCCACGTTTCGGCCTTAAAAGAAGGATGTCGTCTTCTTTTCCTCTTTCCAAATTCCGCCCTTCGGGCCCGGGGAGCGACGGCCGCTTCTCCCCGTGCTCGGAAGAAAGCTTCCGACGCGCCCTTCGTCTTTCCCTTAAACTTTTTCCTCTTCCCGTCTCTATCGCTTCCCTCTCCGAGCGGAACCGGTAAGCTTCTCGTTCCGCTCCTTTATTGCGCCGGCCAAATACTTCCAATCGCGCCCGCACCTCCTCCCGACGTCTTTTACTTTGGTTCCGTCGGCGTAAAAGCCGAACCGGCCACGACGCTACTTCGGGGCCGAGGACGGGACTCCGGCCGACAACCGGTTTCCGGGTCCGGCGTCCCCACGCCGAACGGCGCGGCGCCGCCGGTGGCCACGAAATCCGCCGCGGGTCCCGGGCCTGAGAAGGGGGAGGGTTCCTCCCCCTTTCCTCTTCCGGTTTCCCGGATTTCTCCCGGGAGGGGAAGGGGACGGGCAAAAGGAAACGAGAGGCCAGAACGGTACGAAGGAGGAACTAACTTTCGCGGCGGAAGGATAGGCGGCGGACGGGTCGAGGGAGACGGTGGATCGTCAGTTCGGCGGAGGAGCTTCGGAGGAAGAAGACGGCCGACAGAGGTAAGGAACGAAAGAAGAGGCCCGTCCCTCGGGCGTCGGAATTTCGTCTCGTCCTTCTCACTCCGGTCGGACGGAGGACTTCGCGCCCACGGTCCGCGGGGAAGACGGCTATCGTCGGACCGGCCCCTTTCGGGAAGGGATCGACCGTCGCTTCCCGACGGACGGGGGAAGATCCGCGCCCGGGGTGTTTCGGTCGTCGGGCGCGCGCTCCCAGGGACCACCGTCGGATCCCCGCCGCCCGCCGGTGGACGGCGGGCGGGAGGGTGGGAGTGGGGGAAATCCTTCGGTCGCCGCCGTCCGCGGGAGCCGGCGGCCTCTCGGAGGCGACGAGGTGTCTGGTCGAGCGGAAGAAGACGATTCCAGTGGGAAAGAGGGAAGGAGGGAAGACGGCCCTTTCTTCTCGGCGGAAGATCCGGAAGCGGAAAGCGCCACTTTTTGCTTCGGTCCCGACTTTTAGTGGACTTTTACGGTCGAGTCGACCCCCAGCCCCAGTGGTCGTCGTCCGGGTAACTTTCCTCCCCCGGGCTTTTAGCGTCGACGTTCCCGGGTGGAGAGGAGGACGTCGACTTCTTTCCGGCGGTCGAAGAATCGATCGGAACCGCCGACCTCCTCCCGGACTCCGACCTTCCGGAAACGGGGTGGCTGGCTCGCTTCCCACCGGAAGGTGGTTCTTTCCCCTTTCGGGAGGGAGAACGGCGGAATCCTCCGTCGGACGGACCGGGTCGGCATTAGCCAGTTCCCTAGATGTGTACAAAGTAACGTCCGGGTTTCCCCGGATGCCAAGGACGACGGCGGATAAACGACTCGCCGGGGAGGGAATGGGGGGCCGATCGATCGTCGGGAAGACGTCGTCTCCTTCCCCGCCTCTTCCTCGGATAAACCCTTTCTCGTCTCTAATTACGTTTTCGGCCCTCGGCTGATCGAACGGGAATCGTCTCGGCCACCGAGGGGACGGGAGGAACGTCTCCCTAGGCCACCGCCTCGGATAAGTTCGGGGAGGTCGACGGAGGATCCGAAAAGTGGAGGGGATATTTGGTAATAGGATCGGAAGCGAAAAGAAGGGTGTCATTCGGATAGACCTTGTCGGTGGGGAGGAAGAAAAACGGCCTTTCTTTCCCTTAGGAGGTTTCTTCGTCTGTCTTGGTTTTACACCGGCCAATTCGGCCTCTTCTACGTCTTCTTCTTCTCCCACTTTTGTCCCGTTTGCGGTCGAAACTTTACCCGTCCTCTTTACTTCTTTCTGGTTTTTAAAATCCGACGTTGGTCCGGAAGAACGGACGGAAGTAGAAAGTTCTTTCCGGACCCGTGTTCGGAGGACGAAACGGGAGTCGGACGGATCTACGGTCGCCATCTATCGACTAGAAACGAAACTAATCGGGCGGGCCAGCGGAAGTCGACGGAAAGGGGAAGAAATTGTCAAAATTGTCCTCCCGGGGAGGATGTTTTTCTGGCGCCATTTCGTTCCTTTTCATGGGCGGACGGAACGATCCCGATACCTCGGGCAATAAATAAAGGCTGTTATACACGGTAAGGAAATCCTTTGAGGATTAACCGTGATTTTTTTTTCTATCTATCCATTTTTAAATAAAAATAATTCTTTATACGTTGGGAGATATTTTAATAAGTTTTGTAAATTACTACGTTCGATCCAACCAGTTATATACTAGTTTTTTTCGTCTGTTAAGCACATCCTTTGAGGATTTCCTTACCGTGTATACCAGCCTTGCGCGTAATCGTCCAGAAAGATTGGTCCGGTAGTTCGGTTCCCGGCGGCAAAATCGTAAACTAAGTTTTTTCGTAAGTGTCCCTTTACTTCCGCCCAAGACGGGAAGTCGGCCGCCCGAGTTTGGGAAAGTTTGGGTCGGAGTGAGAGAAACGGGAAGACCCGGGCGCAGGCGGGACCGTTTCTTCCGTTTATTTACGGGTGGCGGCGCCAAAAGGCGATTGATTCTCACGGCCCTTCTTTTTTCCTACGGCAATTTTCGCTTCCGATTCCTCCCTCTTCTCGAGTCCCACCGGAAGCGGGAACTGGTCGCGGTCTTTGCCGGAATTTTTAGAAATTTTCCAAAGTCGGGCGGAGGGTGGCCGTCGGCCCCGACCGGGCTCCCGGGACGGCTAATTGCGTTTAATTACAATTACCGTTCTGGGAAATACGTTAATTATAGGAGAGAATGGATTTCTCGGTAGGCGACTACTAGGCCGGGCGAGAGACGGTTTCTTCATATTTCGATAAATTACATTTCGGGTTAAAGGCGGTTTTCCTCCGGTTGTTTCTGTCGACCGGCGGCGGGAAGCCAGCGAGATTTCCGTTACTTTCTGGCCGCGGGCGGGTTTTCGAACGTTTCTACCTCGGAGGCTGCGATTAGACCACTCTGGACGGAAAGAAAAAGGCACCCTTCCGATAATTAAGTACCCGCGCGGCGTGAGCGGAGGTCCGCCACCGTATTACGATTATCGATTATTTATTTTTCGGGCCAGTTTGCCGTTTAGGGTGGCGCCAGACCGGAGTTTGTTCCGTCGTCCGAAAGGAAAGAACTTTCGTTTTAGAGTTGGTTCGTCTTTTTGCTTGGCAGTTTCTTCTTTGGGAAAACGACGGGTAAAAGCCAAAGGCGTACAATACACCCTCCTTTCTTAGTCGTCGGGTTCCGCTGCCTCTACCCGTCTCGCTGCCAGTCGACCAAGATAGGAAGAGACCGGGGCTTTTGTTTTTGCCTTTCTTTCCCGACCGAGCCACCAGCTCGATCTAAAAACGGAATTCTAAATCCGTCTTCCGCCGATTCTGGCTATTTTGTGTCGTTCCTCTTTTCCTTCGGCCGTATCCGTTCGTCACCGTAATAGTCGATCGATTTCCACCTTCGTCTGGCCAATTTAACGGAAGCCGGCCTACCTTCCTTAACCCGCTCATTTTCTCTATTTTCTTTTTCTCTTAGGCCCGGCTCTAGCTTCACCCCATTTCTCTCTTCGGTAAATATTAATTAATTGTAAGCTGTCCTTTGGCTCATTTTTGTCGTAATAGAGCGGCGTTTATTGGGTGGTGGAGGGAGATCTCGTTGGCTTAGAATCTAACCTCCGTTCTCTCCGTTAAAATACGGGCGCAGCCGGTCGGTCCGTCCCGTCGAAAATCTACCGCTATTTGATGGCATCGCCCGCTTCCGTCTCCGAGAAGATTTAACCGGTTTAAACAACTAACCGACCGGAACCGGAAGGATTGGCCCGGCAAAAATGCGCCGTCGAAAACGAACGCAGATTTCGTTTATTCTCCGACGCTTTCGCCCGGCGAGGAAAGATATAAATACGGAATAAAATGAGTAATTACCGCGTTTAAATATTTATGGATGCGGAGGACCAACTAATCCCTTTCTGTCGCGTCCCTTTACGCCGGTTACGATATAAGAATAGGTGTTTTCCGAAAATAACCGCCAGGTTTAAACGTAACTTTCAAAAATTTCATTCGACGGTTTTAAAGAAATTCTCCGATTACGTTACCAATTCGATTTTGGCCGCATGCGAAGTCTGCAGAAACGGAATAAGCGTGGCCGCGGGATCCTACCGGCGCTTTGTGACGTCACTAACGGTAATCGATGGCTTCTCCGATTTACGGAAGCGTCGTTTCTTGCTTTTTTTGTCAATTTTGTCGCGTTATTTCCGACAATCTTCTTTATCGTCGCGTATTATTTGCCGCCCGGTGCGGTCGACGTAAATTTTCCGCTTGTCGGCACTAATTTAGTTTTAATTTTAAACGAATTCGGTTGGTATAATGTCGTTTCTTTTTCTACGCCTACGTATTATTTTCACCCCGCGGTTGGTTTTTGATTTTGGGCAATCGTTTAGCCAACACCATCTTTTAGTATTTGAACGGCTTTTCTCTATAATTAATAAAGAAGAATTTAGTTCCATGGATACACCATGGGTAAAAAGTAATGTATAAACAGTTTAACCGAAAACGTTCTTCCGTAATAAATATTTCTGGAAAAGAAAAAAGTATAAATCAGTTAGGCACTCCATTTAAGACCCTCCGAGCGATAAAGCCCAAACTCGAACTCGTTTCCGGATATAATTCTCTCGACACCGCCGAAAAGTTTATAAATTTAAGAAAATTGTAACTTAGTTATCATTTTAAAACGTAAGCGTTTAATTTGCACGCGCGTAACTTTCGTTCGTAATTTATTGAGACGAAAAAAAGTAGGTGTCGAAGGGATGGCCCGCGTTAGTAGAATACAGTACTTTAAACCGCGGCCCGCCTCCCGTAAAATATTAATAAATATATCAGTTTCCCAGCTTAAATATGCGACAAAAGTTTAAAGGTTATTTTCTACAACTTACGTAAGCGAATACTTTTTCGGCAATGAATTTAGTAAAAATTAAAAGGAGAAACCGGCTAACGGACTGGTCGAAACTGATTTATATCTAGCGGTGACTAATATTTAATCGAGTATTTCCGATATTTCACGTTTACGTCGGTTCCGCAAGCTAAATTAAGTATGTAATTTATAATTGTTATTTACCGGCTCTTTTCTCTCGTATGCCGCCCCCGTCGGTTCGAAAGTTTTGAAATGTCACCCTTACGTAGAAAAAGTTTGTCCGTCTCCGCTTTAAACTATTACCTACGCAAATTATTACGCCGGCGTTATTATTAAAAGTTATAGTCCCCAGCTTAACGCGCCAAATTAATTGCGGCGCGACGGGGCTTTACTACCTGTCTTTACTTAACGTAGATACCGTATTTCGATTAACTCGATTTTGATATACGCGGGAGGATCCAGGATTAATTAACCGCCTTAATCGAGGAATACCTATATATTCGTAGGTAATTAAAAATTCTAAATTATTTAACACCTCGATATTTAACCCCGGTGTCTCGCCGTGGGATGATGAGACAGAGTATCGTTCGGGTGGCAAAAGGGTGAAATAGTTGGACAGAGTTGTAGTGTTGAAGTAAAGTACGTGTCTCGGACGCCGTTTCTTCAATCCGGTCCAAATTAAGACAAAGAATTAAATGT